ATTTCTATTGGCCTAAGTTGAGGCATGACGTTGAGAGGTATGTGCAAAGGTGTGTCACTAGTCATAAAGCAAAATCGAAATTGAATCCCCATGGTTTGTACACTCCATTACCTGTTCCTAATGCACCTTGGGAGGATATTAGTATGGACTTTGTTCTAGGATTGCCTAGGACAAGGAGGGGGAGGGATTCAATATTTGTAGCTGTTGATAGATTTTCAAAAATGGCACACTTTATTCCCTGTAACAAAAGCGACGACGCGTCGCATGTAGCTGACTTGTTTTTCAGGGAGGTTGTACGCTTGCATGGAGTACCTCGCACTATTGTATCAGATCGTGATGTCAAGTTCATGAGTTATTTTTGGAAGACTTTGTGGGCTAAGCTTGGGACTAAGTTGTTGTTTTCAACGACTTGTCACTCCCAAATTGACGGACAAATGGAGGTGGTGAATCGAACACTTTCTATGTTGCTGAGAATGATGATTAAGAAGAACTTGAAAGAATGGGAAGATTGTTTGCCACATGTGGAGTTTGCATATAACAGGGTGGTACATTCTACTACTCAACTCAGTCCGTTTGAGGTCGTGTATGGCTTCAACCCAATCACACCACTTGATTTGCTGCCCCTGCCACTTCAAGAACGTGCCAATATGGAAGCAACAAAGCGTGCAGATTATGTGAAGAAAATGCATGAGAAGACGAAGGAGACCATTGAGAGGATAATTCAGTCCTATGCTGCAAAGGCAAACAAAGACAGAAAGAAGATGCTATTTCAACCCGGTGAATTAGTTTGGGTGCACCTTCGTAAGGATCGTTTTCCGGAGAAGCGGAAGTCCAAGCTTATGCCACATGGAGATGGGCCATTCAGGGTTTTGGAGAAAATCACTGACAATGCTTACAAGATAGATCTTCCCGGTGATTACACAGTTAGTAACACATTCAATGTGGTTGATTTGTCACCATTCTTTGGCACGGAAGAAACAGATTCGAGGACGATTTAAATATGAATTTTAGAAGTTTTGAGCTATTTAAATGAATTTCTAGAATTATTACCGATTTATTACGCAATAATTATTTATTTTCTTAAAGGAAAAATAAGGTTATTGCGTCAACAGTGGGACGGTTGTGGATCGAGTCCACCAAATGCGGGCCCCACGCATCAGCCAAAGGGGAGGGGCGGTCCACCGTGGACTAAGTCCATGGCGGCGATCGGCCACGCGGGCACGCACCCGATGGCCCAGATCGGCCGAGGGCGGCTGGGCGGCGCGGCCGGGCAGGCGCACACGGAAAGCGGCCAGCCTGCCGCCGGCTAGCGGCGACCTGGCCCAATAGCGCCGGCGGCGAGCAGCGGCGGCATGAGCGGGGCCGAGAGAAGGCGGTTGAGGCGGGGAGGGAGGAAGGGGACGCATCGAGCGGAGGTGGCGGCTGTGTGGCAAAGGAGAGCGTCGGCGTTGAGGGGTTGGAGGCGGCACCCGTGGGTCGACGGCACTGGCGGAGTTCCAGCAGTGATTTCCAAGGGCGGAGGGGTGGACGGGGCGCGGCACGACGTTGCGACGCCAACGGAGCAAGCGGCGCGGTCCGGGGTGGTCGCGGTCGATGGCAATCGTCGATCGGAGGCGACGAATGCGGCGGCAGCCTCGGGTTGGCGGCGGAATCGGCACTACGGCGGTGTTTCGCGGCGAGCGAGGGACGGCCGAGGTAGCCCTCGGTGCGGCGAGGCCGGAGGTCGTGGCGGCACAGCACGGCGGTGGCTAGAGCGGCGAGAAGCGGCGGCCGGAACACGGCGGATTGCAGTGCCGGCTCGGTTTGGTGGGGGGAGTGGTGCTACGCCGGTGGATTGCGGGAATGGAGGGGTGGCCGACGGGCGGCGCGGGATGGCGGAGCTGATGGTGGCAGCGGATTGGCGGGGCGGTGGCTAGGGCGGCAAGAAGCGGCGAGAAGCGGCGGCCGGAGCACTCCGGTGAGCGGCGGCGCACGGCTTCACGGGGAGGAGGTGGTTATGGGCATGGGGAAGCTTGGGAGAGAGAGGGAAACAGATGAGGGGAGCACGAAGGTGCATTTTATTGAGCTCGGGGGCGGAGGTCGTGGCCGACGGGGTGGCAACGGCCGGCGACGTGGGGGAAGAGAGAGGGGGGGCGGCGGATTGGAAAACCGAATCCGCGCCGATTCACGGGTGCGGCGCGGCGCGTGCGGAGTGGAGGAGTGGGGCGGGGATAGCGGTGGCACGCGCGAAGTAGGCAGCGAGGCGCGCGGGCGGAGTGGCGATGTGGGAGGAGGCAGCGACTGGCGGTTGCTGGCGAGGTGGCTGGAGGAAGGGGAAAGGGATGACAGGTGGGGCCGTGGGTCCCACCTATCGGCGAGGGAGGGTGAGAGGAGTCCGGAAGAGGGATGCAAAGTAGACTTTGCAAGGGGGGCGAAAGGGCTGGGCCGAGGGAGAGGGATAGGCCGGCCGGGGAGAGGGGGGGCATGGGCTGCGAGAGGGAAGGGGGATTTGGGCCGAAAATGGCCCAAGGAGAGTAGAAGGAGTTTTAATTTGTTTTCTATTTAATATAATTGATTAAATGAACTTTGTGTCTTTAAAATTACTTCTTGAGCTCCGAAAATTCGCAGGAAATTCGAGAGAATATATTAGGACGCAGAGAATATTACAAAATATTCCCGGCCATGATTTTTAAAGGAAATTTTAATTCCCTCTATAATTTCACTTGATTGAATTGCTTTAACTTTTAATATAATTTCTAGAAATGATTTTTAATCCCGAACGAAAATCAGAGCAGTACTGATCCGATGGTTAAAGCATACATCAGCTAAAAATCCGATGTCATAAAATCCAATCGATTTAGATAAACAGTGAAACCTTTGTTGCAATCAGCTAAATACAATTTGTATGTAATCTTTGTAAGAAGATGTAACATCCAGATAACTTATCGGCTAGCACCCTGATAAAACATTAGCATGAACCTATCGGCTTAACAAGAATTATATTAACAATAACAATCTAGTAGGTTGGATCTAACCGATGCAGCACGAGATTATATATGATAATCTAATACTCGATGAGCCGATAGATCTGTCTAATGTGATGGATATAATAAATATATCTATAACAACATTGTGATTGTAGAGATATATCGGCTAAGACAGAAGATCAGACCTAATCTAGACAGTCCCAACTAAACCGATGCATCTCTAAACACAATGCAATTAGAGATAGAATTGAGATATCAGGTAGGCAAATATATCAAGCAAACCAGAGCGATCCAAGAGATCGAAGCGATGCAGCCTTGAACAACACCAATGTAGCCGATAGATTCAGGACCAATGGAACGTAGGACTTACCCCTTCGCCGGAGATCAAACTGAACCGATGCAGCCCCGCGTCAGGTGCCAAATTCCACCAGTTGTTAAGTAAAACCTCAAAAAAGAGGGTGGCGATGCGCCGAGAGTAGTATTGATCGAGAGATAAATTACAATGACCCCGGGTGTACATATTTATACCCTCGTCACCTCCGCTGCGGCATCGCCTCTCGCTAGCCGCCAAACCTTTTCATCTCCCTCCTCGCCCCGCCGACATCCTACCGACCTGCCGGCCTCCTGCCTTCTCAAGCGTCGCCACAGTCACCGCCGTTGCGTTGCCCGTCACCGGCCGCCGACGCCCTCCTCTCCCGCCTCGCCCCGCCGGCCAGCCTGCGCAAAGAAGTGAGAGAGAGATAGAGGAGGAAGGGAGAGAAGAGGGGAAAGAGAGGTGCCGACGTGGACACCCTGACGTCGGACAAAACTGGGGCCAAACCACCTATGGACCTAAAGCGTGAGTGGGCAAACTAACTTGGGACTATAGGTGATGACTGGTCTAAAAGCTTTATCTACCTATTATTTTAGAAACTTAAACGTTTGAAACCTAGTATTTAAACTACCATGTTTGTATAAATGGCTAATTCTTTCAAACAAAACAGATAAAATAGGGCAAGCATTGTAGGCTTAGCATTTAAGATTATGCAATATAAATATAATCACTAAATGCCCAATGCATGTTAGCTAAAATAAAATGACAAAGAGTGATCGTTTGGATCATACAAATTCCTAATGTTTAACAAAAAAAATTAGAGTAAAAATATTTAAATCATGAAAACAATCATACCACACTACATAATAATCACGCATGCAGAGTTATTTTTAGCTATGAAATTATGTTCTTGTTAAGCTATATGGAGTCTCACACACTCTGCACGACAATGAGCTCTCTCATACTGCGAAATCAATTAAGACTCGAGAAGGCTTTTTAGAAGGCTTTTTATTTGAAATATATATAGTGTCACATGCACCCAAGGCATCCATTAATAAACAATGAGACAATCTAGCATATAGAAAAATAATAGTAGGTGTATCCCAACAAAGGACAGTAAGTTATAAAATATGTAGCCAATTTACTACATACCTAAAGGAACACAAAAATAACTGTCAAGTTCTATTGATTGCTGAAAAACAATGATATGGGTACAAATATCATTATTTTCATAATCAATCAATGTAAAATGACAATTTTAAGTCACTTATCCCACGTTTTAATTGAATGAACAATTATGCTCATCACACTCCTACACAAATAATTTTCGCAAGCATTCTTTCCACATGTTCCTCAAATGTGCAGCCTCATAGTTAGTAAGTCTTTTGCCTAAGACACATGCGCCACCTTTAGAAATAACTTTTGTAATGTTTTTAGACATAGGAGTACTTAACCCTTAACCCACAAGGTAGCGTTGAAGGTTTTACATATAGAAGTATTTTATCGGAGTACTTAACCCGTAAAGGTAGTATTGAATCGATCTACTCTCTTGGCTATAGAAAAAAAAAGGGCTCATTTTACATCCTAACAACATTTTATTCTTTTAAATTTATGCTTCTCTACAAGTCATATTTCACTTTGACACATCAAGAGACGAAGGTAAATGATAATTAAACGAATTCACTTAGTTCCACGCTTTGCACGTAGAAGCCTATAAGGTGTCAATACAAAATCAATAGCATATCTTATAACAATATGATTAGAAGTTTCCTACTAAATTACGTTGTAAGACTAATATTGACTAGGTAGTTTTCTTAAAAATATTGTAGGGTCCTACGTATAAGAAGCGCTATCTAATATATGTATATTTAGGGAAAAAAATACATTTATGAGCAATACGAGTTTCTCAAGATTTTTTTTTTAAAAAAACAATGAACAATCAATTAAAAAGGGAAATACCTAACATTAATTTAAACTTATTTTGGTAGACCTGTTTTTAAACAAAATAACAAGCATGCCCGCGCATTCACGCGGGCTACCTTTCCAGTTTGCTTTCTAGTTTGTAGTAAGTACTTCTTCCCTTGATGAAATTTGGTCTGCTTTCTTAACCGGCTGGCGAAAAAAATAATCTATCACCATAGGCCAAGCAAGTATTGCCATCCAGCCTGCCAACCGTATTGAGCACCCTGTCCACACATCATCCGCTGTCACCAAAACGCCCCTGCTGAATTGAATTGCTGATGATATCATCGGGTGTGTCCAACGGCTCCAGCACATGAACTGCACCATCGCTCATGCCGACTGCAAACTGGTTAGGCTTCCAGGGATGCGCAGCGACAACCATGGGATACACAATTTCACCACCGCTGGAGTTGATAAGATGAAACAAGAGGGCAGCATTAACAGGTCACCAGCATTAAAATTACCAGACTCGAAACAAAAACAGAATTAAACTGTTGGAGTTGGACACTGCATATACCTAGAAACTGAAGATGGTATATAGGCAGAAGGTGCAATCCTGCACTGTAACATGAGAGATTCCACTTGAAATATTCCAATTGCACCATCACAGAATCCAGCGTAGATCAATAAGCCATCCGATGAGTATACTGCACTCGAAACTGGAGCAGAGAGTGGATCACTTGGGAACCACTGCACATTGTCAATCAATGAAAGGTTAAATATCAGTGATGATTACAATATATTGTGAAGGTTAGGAGCATCATAAATATTTATCTCACTGCTAGCATGATGTAACATGTTTACTCAAGACCGAATCAAGACTGCATATAGCAAGTGATAGATGCAAATACATTGATATATAAATTTTGTGAACAACTTACTGAGCACAAGCATTCTAGCTCCTCATCGTAGATCGCCAATTGGCTCTCATGAACTACTAAAAGGCGCTTTTGGTCATAGTGAAACTGCACCATTATATCACCAACTAAAGCTCCAGAATGATTAGATGGAGGTTGGATATATCTGGATTTCTTCTTCGCCCAATCTTCCATACTCCAAACACATAGCTGCAAATTCCATTTCATTGCACACACAAAAAAAAATGATTCAGAAAAAAACAAGTATAATATACGTAGTTTTCCATGCAATCAAGCATGTAATTTTTTTTAATTTCTTATCTTTTGGAAAATGGACTAAAGAATGGCCTGAAATGGGACTCATATAAATATGGATTTTGAAGCTATGCTTATATGCACCGAGCTTACATTTAACTCAGCATCCATTCAATAAACAACAAAATTGCCAGTCCAAAAATCTTTGATATATATTAGAATTTACACCTGAGAATCAGCACCTGAAGATACAAGCACATTCATTGATAGCGAGAATACCAGTCCAGTTATCTTTTTCTGATGGCCCTTGAGCACCCATTTAACCTGTGCAATTCGATTAAGATAAGTCAATATTTTGTCATGTTGCTGCCAAATATAAACAAACGGTAATTAGTATATTAAGTATAGGACTCCACATAGGAAGAACCGAACAATCAATTACCATTGTTGGGAAAATTGACTCTCGGCATGAAAACTTTGAGGCAATTGCGCACTGCCGTTTTCCACCCATTGCCGCGTGATTAACATGTTTTAACTCATGATTATTACCATAATTATGCAATCACGTGCATTGATTGGTAGCGCCCAAAACCTTATGTTTTTGGAAAGCCCCCGATTCCCCTCAGTGCAAAATAAAATGGGAGGCCGACCCTAGAGGAAGGTGACAACTTTTTCTCTCGGTCTCAAATCTCACCAACACAAAAATAACGTAATCCCGATCAAGCTAAACCGCTGGAGGGGAAACATGGTACAGTCCAGGCCGATGCAGGTGGAGGCCGGAGGACGCTGCCAGCCTGCCACATCATCTCTGCTTAAACTACTACGCCGCCAACGAACACCAGAGCAGTTCAAGAGACTCCATCCTCTTCTTTCACTCCGGTTCCAAGAGAGGAAATCGCAACAAGTGCAATGGCTTCAAACAATGGTTAGCGCCCCTAATATTCCGCATTAGGTGATCTTTTAGGCTTAGCATATTATGAATCTTAAGTAGATTATGAAATCTACAATCATTATGACTTCCCATATCTTCAAATGTCGAGCTGACAATATATGAGGTTTTTGGGTCATACTGGGTACCACTTTCTTCATACTGTTGCCAAGAGATACCACAAAATAGCTATAGAATGCGTGTACCTTGTGGTATCTCCTCAAAGACCATAAAAGGCTCACAATTTATTATGTAAAAAAGAACATATGTAAAACAACATTTAGAATCTCACCAGATCCTGATACATAAGTAAAAGATGAGGAGATATATAGTCTGAAACGAGAACATATTATTTCACAATGGGTACTGCACTTCCAGTGGGAATCATAGATAGTGAGTTTTGCCAATACTTTTGAGATTTATGCAAACAGGGGACAAGAGATGCACGGCTAACACTCACCTCGTCAACACGGATATTGTAGAGTAGAATCGAAGAGTCATCCGTTCCAATAGCTATGATGTTATTGTCATGCGGGTGGAATGCGAGGAAAGTTGCAGAGGGTGGAGGTGCTATGAAAGTAGTCATGGTCTGTGAGTGATTCCACAAAATCAGTTAAGTAAAAGAAAGGCCATGATCGATGCAACTATGAAATAAAAAATATTTTCCGGAAGTAGTCATGACCTGTGAGAGATCAATCATGAAATTACCAGATTATTGTGTTACATGACTGAAGAAGACATACCTTGAAATTTAACATGTTGAACAACGAAACTTTGCCACCAGATGCAGAAATTAGATAGCAGTCATTTTTGGATAGTAGACTGCAGGCAGCTGCTTCTTCAGGGTTGCCATTAGCAGTGTCATTCATTAGAATGTCACTTTCCGGTTGCCACACTTGAGGTGGGACAGATGTGGTGGACTAACAAAAAGTAGTGATGGTTTTAAGAAAACAACCAAACAGAACTGCGCTGTTGAAATCAAAATAATTTAGTTCTCCTGTCTAACCATGCCAGCAGGATTCTTGTCATTGCTCTCCCATTTCCACAGCTTATGAACAGCATTTGAGCTGAGAGCTAAAAGTCCCTTCCCACTTTTTCTATAAAGCAGACAGATAACCTATAAAGAAAAGAAATAAAACACAATGCTTATCAGAATTGTATACCGATCTGAATATTCTAGTGAACTGCCAGAATTGTATACCGCTCTGAATACAGCTTATAAGTTATACCACTATCGCTTTGAATTCTAGTGTGCTACATCACAAAAATGAGAAATCACATCCAATGTCAATATCAACAAATATAGACGCTTGTGAAATATTTACATGCAAATATCAACAGATACTGTGATCTTCCTTGCATTAAATAGAATGTAAGGTCCTATGTTTCAGGTTGATAACTTGATATTTCATGGTCAACGTACTAATACGAAAAGATGCACGTGCAAACATCGCTGAACATACTTTGCTTGAAGATGCTTCTGTAACTGGCATACGCAGTGCTCGAATACGGCCAGAGCTAACAATGTTCGCCTTCCAGGCCTCATTTACCAACTCCGGGGTTCTGCTCACATGCATATATGCCTGCATTTTCAATACAATTAGCAAATAATATTGAACAGCAAACGAACAAGAAAGTGCAGCAAACTCAGCTGGCCACTCATGAGTTCCTGGCTATAACTACAGTACACACATTCCAAATGGAACCAAGGGCATTCACAATCAGGGGCTGCATGGTAAAAAAAACAGTGGTTATTTTTCCTCTTTCTCCCAGTTTCTTCATCCAACGGCCAACCAAGCTCAACAGCAGCAACGGTCTTCCTGTGGCAGGACACGGCAGTAGATGGGTGTCGAAGCATCTCCACGTCATGAAGAAATCTGCAGTGAAATGAATTGGCACAGAGGACAGTGATGGTGGGGAGACGTCAACCAGTACTAGAGAACACAGTCAAGCCAGAGATACTCAGAGTTTTCAATTTCGGAAATTGTTATTCTGTGGGAGAGAACAATAACTGAGGCATCAGCCAAGTTAGAAACATTTGCATGGTGGTGTATCTCTGAGGAATCGGCCCGGCACCCACTGACAGTTTAAACCGATGGAGTCACTACCAGGTCACCAGTGCACACTTGCTACTGCAGGCTAAAGTAGCATACCTCCGGTTTGCTCGCTCATGTGTATATTGATTCACGAGAACGTGAACTCAAATCAAGAAGGAATAAGTTTAAGGACCATTGGTAACTTAACTCGAATATAAACATGGTGCAACTAGTAGCATAGGCCCTCAAGAGGCCTGTACCTCATAAAGATATTGTAATCAAATTGAAGGCCAAACATGCATCTAGGTACGTTTTTTGCAATATCAAATGATAGACAGGACATGAATTTTTCTACTCGTATAAAAGAAGGGAAAGGAATGGATATAGGACTAATTAAAAGAAGAGAAACTAGAAGTGGCTAGATTCGACTCCTAGTTTGTGAGGCATAATATAGGGGAAGTAATTACCTTTACTACAAAAAGCAACATGGGAATGAATTAATAAGATGAACCAACGTTGGTCTATCAATGTGCATGCATGATCAGTTCCTACCTCTTGGTAGGGTGAGAGCACAGCTTGTTCGTCTTGCCATTTGGTTTGAACAGTTGGGTGTTTGGGATGGACCGCAGCTGAGTTCATCAATGCAGCAGCCACTTCCTCCACCTCTGACAGACGGGCATCTCCACATTTCAGTACTATGGTGACTTTCTGGAGCGAACTTCTTCCAAGCTTCTCGAAGCTAAGCAGCTTGTCAAAACCAAGCTGGGTTGCATCTTTCAGGAACCGCATATGGACAGCAAACTCGAGGAATTCAAGACTTGGCATGATAATAGATGCTAAGCTTCTATTGTCTGTGATGTTGCACTTGCTGCCGTGCAGATCAAACCAGATAGATGTACCAAGTATCCTTAAGATTCTCAACTTCCGAAAGTAGCCAACATCTTCAGTATGAATCTTTATGCTAACCAATTCGGTCTCATGCAAACGCAGCACAAGGCAGCGGAGCTCTGGCAACCTCGCAAGGGTTTCCATGTCCTGCTCTTTCACAATTAGCACAACCACATCCAGACAGGAGAGGTTCGGAGCAAGCGATGATTTAATCCATGCTGGCAGTCCAGAGAACACAAAGCAATTCAGACACAGGTATCGGAGATGCAGGCAGGAGACAGATCTTGCACTGCTTGTCACTCTCCTTGTCACTAGGGGTGGGCCCTCAATGTGCAGGTCCCGGATATTGTGCAGCTTGCTTAGGGATTCCAACAAAGCTCTCTCCATGCTCTCATTCAAATCCTCAAAATAAGTCCGGAGCACCCTTAGTTCCCTCAGTAGGCCCAGCTCATTCACAAACTTCATCGTAGACTTCGTAGTATCATCAACAGCAGCAGCATCATCATCATCATCAACAGAAGCAGCATCGTCATCATAAACAGCAGCAGCAGGCTCTATCCAAAGCTCTTGCAATGAGGTCAACTTACCGATCAAACCAATCTTCACCATTATTTCCCAATCAGCTCGTAGGCAAACAAGTTGTGTCAGCAGTCCCACCTCCTCTGGCAGCTCCTTTATGCGACTTCCCCTTAAATCCAGTGTCTGCAGAAACTTGAGATACCTTACTTCCCTGGGCAGCTTAGTGATATATGTATCTACTAACCCGAGGTACCTCAGGTGAAGTAAACTCCCAAGATGGCTTGGCATAGTTTTGTCCCTATCTTCCAAAACATTAGGCGTCTCACTTTCTGCACAGTTTATCACATCTAATACACGTAAAACCGGAGTGTGTAGGCATAATGAACCGAAGCACTGACTGGCAATAAGGGATCTCACATTCTTCAGAGTGATATTAGCTAGCTGACCATCCTTGTGCACTAGAACACGCTGCAGGGCTAACCTGCGAGCAATGCTCCCCGGAAGTTTCTGTCGCTCATCACCATTCAATACAGTGACAAAATTTTCTTCACTCGATAATGAGTGGATCATATCAAGAACCATATCATGAACGCAGCAACCATCTACATACCCTTCATGTTTTGTCTCCACTGGCTGGATCATGCTTCTATTTATCAACTCATTGAAGCACCTCTCCCCGAGCTCAAATAATCCTAACCCTGCTGCTAGTTCCTCATGGATGAAACCTTCAGCTATCCACTTCCATATCAAACTATTTTTCTCTATCACATGATCTTCGGGAAATACACATAGATACAATAAGCAATCTTTTAAATGTGAAGACAGATCATAGTAGCTAAAAGACAATATCCTTCTAGTATTACCTACATCATCATTGTCTTCATGCCCAAAACCGACAGAGTTGTAGACCTCAGACCAGTCCTCCCCTGGTTTACTGGCCAACAAACTAGCTATTGTAATGATAGCTAATGGTACACCACCACATTTCTTCAAAATTTTTTCACATGCCTTAGCTGATGGATTATCGAAATACTTCCATTCACCATCAACTATTCTTGCATACAATAATTTTTCAGAGTTATCACGAGAAAGTGGCTGAATTTTGTAAGCTTCACCAGCATGTGTGGCAACTTCAGAAATACGAGTAGTTATGACAAGTCTACTTCCACAATCACTTTCTTGCAGAGCACATCTGATTAATTTCCATGACTCCTTGTCCCATATATCATCAATAACAATGAAACACCTATGTCATGATTGGATAGAAGTATCAGAGCAGGAGGAAAACCAGTGCAGTTCAAAGTTAATCTTGGTTCAGTCAGAGTTAGGGGTCAGAATCAAATTCAGTTAAAATTGAGTTTAGAGTTTGAATCTGATTTGGCTAAGTTCTTTGAAGTTTGTTCAGACTACAATTCAGTTAGTATTGGAGTCGGTTTGAATTGGGCTTGGCTATATTAGCTGGTTGTACATCATGAATTGAATCATGCACTTATATTTTTGCAGGATAACTGACATGTACTTACATCTCCAATGTTTGTATGTGATGTATGTCTTGTGCTTAGTGCTAAAATACAACTGCATGTTGTTATATAAATATAATTTGCAGTAGCTCTAACAAATAACCAGTTAACCTACATCATTAATTTATTATATAGCTTGGGCCTACCAAAATCGACATGATGAATGTCTCTCTTTTCTCATTAATGTGGTTGTTTTTTGCAACTCTTGGGAGCAAATGAGCTTGATATGTTTAAATTTGTTTGAATAATATGACTAGCATGATTTTCTTGCGATTGCGTGGCTAGATAATAAATTAATAATACTCATTTGTATGAGAAAATATATCTGAATATTATACAACTGTTTTTGCTTGCTGAAAACACATTTACATTTTTATGCATGACTGTATTAAATCAATCTGCATCGATTAGCGTTGTACTATTTTCTAGACTTGAGATGTAAAATGTGCTCCTTTCATCCTTTATTTAATAAAGTAAATAGATATAAGGAAGGAATTGTACAGATACTGGAATTCAAAGTCACAACGTAAGCAGTGAGTCATTGGATTGGTGATTACACTCATACCTCTTCTCCTTGACGAATTCCTTGAGTTCGTCCATGAGCTGCTTTTCATCCAACACCATCATATTCGGATTCGTGTACTTTTCCTTGTCAAGATCAATGAGAATGTCTCTAAAGACTTTCTTCATGTCAGGATTCCGACCCACTGGAACAAAAGCTCCGCATTCGAAATGCGGTTCAACCTGGTCATCGAATGCTTTATTCATGTCAGGATTCTGGTCGACTGGAACAGAAGCCCTGCACTTGAAATGCGGTTTGAAGTGGTCATAGACAGCTTTGGCAAGAGTGGTCTTGCCGAGTCCTCCAAATCCAACGACAGAGATGACTTTCATCTTCTTGTCGGACACATCAACATCACCCCCCAGGGATAGCTTGTTTATGAGATCGTCCCTTGGCCCGTCAATGCCAACAAGCTCTGTTGCCCTTTTGTACAGATTCTGGAGACGAGGATCGATGGTCGTTGCCGCTAGAGACTTGAGGACAACGCTGTCGACTGTGTACTTGACATGCCTTGCTTTCACCTGCTCGAACTTCTTGTTAATGTCTTGGATCAGGTTAGAGATCTTACGGCGAGCCTTGCTCTTCTTGAACAGCTTGCCTAACTTCTTCCGGAGGCGCAGGAGCATGTGTGGATCGGTGGGGTCAGGGCCATCGTCGTGCACCAAGAATGTGTCGACGATGTCCTCCATTTCGTAGGATGCCTCCCTGACATCGCGCGCCCAAAGCTTGACCAGCTCATCGACCTGCTCCGATGGCACATCGCCGATCTTGCGGAGGACGGCGTGCACGACATCGAGCTCCCGTGAGAGACTTGATCTTCTCCCTCACGCCCGTTTGCAGGCCGTACTCTTTCTCGAGCAGCTGAAGCAGCTTGGGCAGCAGGCTCCTCATCGCCCCCGTCGCCAGCTCCATGCTTGCAAACTGGGGGTCGGGAACAAGCCTGTCGTAGACAGCAAGGAAGGCCCGCCCGCCCCAGATCCGCCGCCTCCTCTTGGCCTGAAGCAGGAGGGACGCGCAGCTCTGCTGTCCCTGCCGCTCGCCGGCCAGATCCAGCCCCTGGAAGGGGTTGGTTGACTTCTGTGAGACCGGAATGGAAGTCACTCCGGATGGCTAACGCAAAGCAGCAGGGGAGTGAGTGAGTAGTGACTAGTGACTACTGACTACTGAGTACTAGTCTGTCCCAAAAAAAGCCAAACTCTGGCTATGAACCTGGACACATGTGTGTCCAGGTTCGTAGCTAGGATTGGACTTTTTTTGGGACGGAGGGGGTACTGACTAGTGAGGACGACAGCATCTGCAAGGGTGGACCACCTCACTTGACTGGCTGACTCTGTGATGTTTGTGACTGGAGTCTACTTCCTTCGTCCTAGATTATAAATATTTTTAATTCTAACATGATTTTTGAGATACTATTTTAAGTAACAATATATATAAAAGTAAGATTTTTTAAATAAAAAGTATAGCATATTTTAATAATTTATTTAATGATAAATCTATTAACATCAATTTTATATGATTATCTTTTTTATTTTTTTAGTAATGGTCAAAGCTAAAAATATTTGACTTATTACTGTATTGAAAATGCTTATATTTTAGGACGAAGGGAGTACTTTTGTTTAAACAATCCGCACATGACAATGCGATGTTTCGTATTGATAGAGCAGGAAAATAAATTACAAGTCTGCAACCCTAGAAGGCGATATAGTAGGAAAAAGAAAAAATAACAACCACACCGTGTGTCTATAACCAGATCCCGCTACATCCCTAAGGAAAAAAGAAGCAGGAACACAACATCCCTAAGGAAATGAATATTCTAAACGACACCTTTAGGAAGGATACGACACTAAAAGTGTCATCGTCGCCGACCTTGAACCCTCAACGTGGTTTTCACTTGAAGAAATCCATCAGGGTGAGCAGAGAAGATCACTCAACAATGCCCCAAGGGAAAACGGCGCTCTCAAGCATCACCATTGCTGCCCTGGAGGGGCTGGGCTTCGCCTGTAATCTCTTTGTTCGCCCGTGTTGTTGCCTGCTGGAAACATAACCACTATCAACTGTGCACCTTCAACACGTAGCCACCGCGCTAGCGCCTTGCCGCTGGCTAGCCATCAAGTAGGACCTCAACCTTTGGCGCACTCCAAACCCATCCACGCGGATGGGTTAGAAAGGGAGAGGGTGAGAGAGAATAATGGACCAAATGTGGCCACCTTGTGGCGGCAAGGTGCCACCACAGGAGGACTAGCGTCTGGATAGAAGCCCATCGCAGGCCTACTCACCCACCTCACGGCACGACCGTCATCGCTGCCTCAGTCAAACTACTCGCATGCCTTAGGCCGCTTGCCCGCATCACCGTCGCCTCGTCCTAATGCCCATGCCTCCACCGAGACTCCAACCGGAGCGCCGACCGCAGCAGACCCCGCTTGTGCCACACCAGCCAGCCACGGCTCCTCTTACTCGCACCACGCCGCTCCCACCGCCATCATCATGCCTACTTCCTACCGCTCCTACCATGCCAACCCGCGCTAGGTCAGCCTCCCGCCAACCTCCTTCCGTGCGCGACCTACCACCGATGCCGACCGCGCCACATTGGCCACTATGCCCTTGCCCCACCATGTTAGATGCTCGGTGCCAGCCAGAGCCAACCACGGAGTTGCCAGGCGCCAAATCTAACCATCGTCTCGGCCCTCGCTCCACACCGTTGTCTCCTTGCGCCCGACGCCGCTGTCTCCCTGCACCCGGCGCTGCCTTTCCCGCACTTCGCCGCCTCTCACAGGACCACCCCGCCACCATGCCCGATCTGGCTGCTCAGCTGCTAGATCTGCTTGGTCGACGTCTCAGCTCAGCCGCGCTGGCCGGATCCGCGCTACCGCGGCCTCCCATGATGCGCAACCGTCATTGCCACTCCTCCATGGCCAGCTCGTCGCGTCGGCATTGTCCGCTGCCCTGGCAACTCGCCGCTATATGCCCGCACCGTCGAGAGCGCTGCCGGAGTGTTCTTCCCGCCGCCTGAGTCGGGGGTGAGCGGCGGCTAGGTTTTTCGCCACCTGGTTGCCCATGCGGGGAGCGACACTTGAGTCCAAAGTGGTCTCGTTAAACCAGCCATGATATTACTTTGGAAACTCAACACAGAATAACATCGCGAAAAGATCTAAACTGGTGACGATATCGGGGCTCGATATTTTTTAAAGAGACATGATTACATCCACTTCTCTTTAATCTAGCATATTACAGTGTATCTAGGCATTCATAACCCTCGATCGACTAGGCCACTAACTAGTCAAACCCACACCTATATTACTATCGTCTTGTAGTTATATAACTAGTATGTCTCTCTATGTACATAGAGAGAACTTAGGCTGCGTTCGGCAGCTGTGGTTGGGAACAAATCCCCTCCTGCATGCAAAACGGGGCGGTTCACCATTAACACATGATTAATTAAGTATTAGCTAATTTTTTTTTAAAAAAAATGGATCAATATGATTTTTAAAGTAACTTTCGTATAGAAAAATTTTAAAATACGGACCGTTTAGTAATTTGAAAAGCGTGCGCGTGAAAAAGAAAGAGAGTGAGTTGGGAAACTAAAGTGCCAAACTCAGCCTTAGGATAGTTTGACTCTAACTTTATACTACACTGTTACAATTTCAAACCGTCAAACTAACTTTATACCCATATTCGACGATAGTTTTTCTCTTATGTTACAGTACTCTGTTGTACAATTTCGGTTTTGCGCGTTAACGGTGGAGTGAGATTTGTACATGGCCGTTAGGCAGCTAATATGTAGTGGCTGCCATGTAGGCAGCTAATATGTAGTGGCAACCAGACAACCAGTCGATGGACTACTAATCTATTTTGCACTGAAGTTAATTACAAGGCCACTAGCCTGAATTTTAAACGAGCTATGTACCGGGTACAATCACATATTGTTACCCACACGATCGCTTTATCCGACTGGTGGGCCAGGTTCACATATTATGTAATAGATTAGGACTTAGAAATTATATTGTCTTGTTACCTAAGGCATAGCTAATAGTCCTAATTGGATACGATTATGTAAATAGAAAAGGAAACTCGTGCCGTGTCCAGCAGGGTTTTTCTCCTTTTAACCTTGTCTTTGAACCTGTATAAGAATGGTAGGAAGCCCCAAGAACATAACCACAACTCGATCATCAGATCAATAAACACTTGACGGATCCAATCCTGAAAACAGGAATATAATATTTCTTCTCACCTTTGCTCATCCACTTTATCTCGTGTGCTACGCCTTTTCTCATTGCTAATTTCTAGAATCGGCACATATGCACGTAAACACAAGTTTGAAGCTATAATATTCGGTCTGGACACATACTTGGTTATCTTAATTTCACTAGACTTGAACAAACGAACTACAGTCTTTTCTCTTAGGGCAAATTTTATAGTAGGGGTAATTGTCACGTCTAATTTTATTCATATAAGATAAGAGGTGATATATACAATACACCACATCTACACCACCTCTATCATTGTAACCTAAATAATTTTATTTTATTTGTTTGTCCAATCCCCTATTTCTTTCATCTCATTTTCCTTGGGGTTTGTGTGGAGGTTGCTCCTTGCATGAGGGGTGGCTCACCTTCTCTTTCCTCAATTATTACTCCCACCTCATCATCTAATCGTATATGGTATTTTTAGAGAGAACACATCAAGCATCATAGTACTTGCCCTTAGGCTGTGTTCGGGAGCCCCACTTCCTTGCACGGAAAACGAACCAGTCCACTAGCATGTGATTAATAAAGTATTAGTTTTTTTTTAAAATGAATCAATATTATTTTTTAAAGCAACTTTCATATAAAAGTTTTGTTTGAAAAAAAACACGCACCGTTTAGTCGTTTTAAAAACGTGCGGGCGGAAAATGAGATGAGTGAGTTGGGAACTTAAAGAAACGAAATCAGCCTTAGGTAGTCTTCTTTTAGGCGGTGATTTTCCCCCACGTTTCCAACTTCAACTATCTTGTTTTTCACGCACATGCTTCCTAAACTGCTAAACGTGTATTTTTTGAAAAAAATAGTTTTTCACATAAAAGTTGCTTAAAAATCATATTAATCCATTTTTCAAGCTTTTTTTTTTGCTAATACTTAATTCATCACACGCTAATAGGTAACATCGATTTCCATGCCCAGCCTTAAGCCATTGCAAATTTGTCATATTAGAAAAATGCCACTACTGTTTACAATATCGGCTAGATGCCATTAGAATTTTGTCAAATTGGATCTATACCATAGCCATCACGTTTTTAGTTCGGGATGAAAACGGAGTGGACACGGATAGATAACGCTCGTACCATATTCGTTTTTTTTTTTTTGCCGAATATGGATTATCTCGAATATGATCGGACACGATCACACGAATACGGAAACATTTTTTCCTCAGAACACAAAAACCAATTCAACTTCTAATATAAACAAATATCAACATATATAATTAGCTCATTTTATATAAAATATAGGATAATTTATAAATAGTTTTAAATAATTAAATAATATTAATAGTGTGGACTAGTGTCAAGACATAACTACTATTAAAATCTAAAAAGGTATATTGAAGGTCATCGGACATCCGAATTATTATCTGTATCCGACGGAAACCCCGATACCATATTCGTATTCATATCTGGGAGAAAATATCCATAGCTGTATCTATATTCGAAAGGTATCCATATTCGTTTTTATCTGGAGCGGACGGAAACAACTATCCGCTTCATTTTCATCCCTATTTTCATTCTTCATATGGACCAAATACCCTTGAACTTGGGACCCATCTGTCAGTTTCATCTCCTTCCTCCATCCCTCCTCCAGCCTCCCAGCGCCTCTCTTATGTTCGTCTGCAACCTCCGCGCCCGTGACAACCGCTTCAGGACAGCTTCAAGTGGTCCACCATGTCGGCGAGGTGGGCCAGGTACACCAGGAGCACTGCCGCAGCGTACCATAAAATTCGATTCGAAGTTCTCATATTTTAAAATTAATTTTTAATGACTATTTTCGCATGCGGTCCTATTAATGAGGCGCATGCAAAAATCTATTTTCGCATGCAAACTCTTAAGTGGTTGCAGCGACGGCGACGGCATCGGTGGGCGGCAGCGGCAGGCGGCGAGGGCGGCGGATCCGGC